GGCGGCGGCGACGGCCCGCCGGGCCAAGCGCTATTCCAGCAGCCCAGGCGGCGCCTGGCCGCACGGCCCGGCCGCCTCGTCGGCGTCGGCGTCGGTCTCGGTCTCGGTTTCGCCCGGCGCCGTGGCCGCGGGCCCGCCGCCACGCGCGCCCGACGAGGGCCACGCCTACTCGATGCCCTCGGAGCGCCAGGCCTATGCACACCTACACACCTACGCGTCGCAGGCTGCCGAGAAGTCGCCGCGACACGCGAGCCGCCTTTCGCCCGAGCCCTCTGTCGACCAGACCGCGAGACACACCGTCGCCGCCGCCGTCGCCGGCACCGGCTGGACTCGAGGCGCCGTCATCCACTCGTCGGGCCACTCGACCGGCTCGTCGGCCAGCTCGTCGGCCTCCAGCACGTCGTGTCCATCCCTCGGCAAACAGGCAATCCCCTCCGGCCTGGCGCCTTCCGTCGCCAAGGCTACTCGACCCAACAACTGGCCGCCGGCCTGTCGGCCGCACCAGCCGGCTTGCCCCAGCAACCGCCAGCAGCAGGCGTCGCGCCATCCGGGCCCGACCGGCTCCGAGTCGACGTCGCCCGCGTCCAGCTTGAGCCCGCCGCTGCTGCCTCTGACGGCGGCCGTCGACATGAAGCCCATCTCCACCTGCCGGTCCGAGGATTCGGGCATCAGTCTGCTTCGCAACAGCCAGTCGCCGCCCGAGTCCCCGCACGGCCTCTTCTACGACGGTCCCGAGGCCGGGCCTGACGCCGACTCGCTCGACCACTTCTACTACTTGGGCGAGGACTTGGACTCACCAGAAGACAACATCCATGACGACGGCGTGGTTGGGGAAGAAGATGAGGAGGAGGAGGAGGAGGAGGATGCGTACGAGACGGAATTCCTTGTACCGCCTCACTGCCCCGAGAAGGACAGTCAAGTGGAGGCAGGGGAGGCGACGGAGAGAGTTAAGACGGAGGAACGGTTCGAGGCGGCAGAAGAGACGGAGGCCGAGCACGAAGGAGAGATTGAGGAAGAGGAAGAAGAGGAGGAGGAAGGGGAGGAGGAGGAGGGGGAGTATGAAAGTGGGCGCTCTTCCAGCTACTCTGGCCCCCGATTTGGGCTTCACCCGAGAGGCTATCGGCCGGCCGGACTTCGGTTTCAGCATCGCCTCTTTCGCGGTCTGCCTCACGCGATGGGTTCTCGCGAACTGGCGCCAGCGCCGGTCCAACCGGCGCCGCCACCGCCCGCCCGATACCGTCAGCCGTTCATTTTCCCCTTCGGCCTGCGGTTTCCGCTCAACACCTCCGTTGCCGGCGCCCCGCGATCAGCTGACCGTGACGCGATGGCGTCCGCCTCGTCCGCCCTGGCGCACCAGCGATCGCACTACCTTCTCAGTCCGGTTCCTGTGCCCGGCAACATGCCTCGCATGCTCGCCGTCGAGACGGGCCGGTCGTCACGGCATTGGCCCCAGCGACGCGGCGGCGGCTGCTCTGGCGTCTGTGCGGCCGGTGCTGGGGCCGACGCGCAAGCGGGCTTTGCGTCAAGCCCGGCCAAGGCGGCAACTCGTGCGCCTGCCAGTGCACCCACAGCCACAACCGCGTCTGCACCCGTGCCCATGGCATTCGCCGCCGCCGCGTTTAAGTCCGGCCAGCCGACGACAGCCTCATTGTCGCCGCCCAAGCAGACCTTGACACGACCCAACTCGCTGCGAGTCTCGCCTCGACACCAGTTCGCCCCGGACACTGTTGTCTCGCCTGCGATTCTCGATCTCCCCAGCAACCCTAGTGAGGCTGTCCGGCACACTTTTGACTCGGCCAACTCTGCCTGCCCGGCCGAAAAGACCGTCGCCAGTCCCGTAGCCCTGGCCAGTCCTGGCGTCTTGGTGACGTCGACGACGACGTCGACAGCGACCGCTTCTGGCGCCTATTGCCCGTACGAAGAGAATCGCTTCCAGATACTCACCTACGACCAGGTGTTGCGATTGCACAATTTCCTGAACGCAGAAATTCCTGTGCACAGTCGTCTGCCCATCTTTCCCACCATCCACATTAGACTGAGTGAACTGTTCCGCACCGTCAAGGCGAGCCTTCAGAAGGCCGGCATCCCGGTCAGAGATATACGCCTGAACGGTGGGGCGGCAACTTATGTCATTGGTGAGTCTGTCTACAATTTCGCTCCAATGATGCCATACTTTTCAACACAATCACAAAAAGGTCTTCTCATCTCGGCCCGACTGTACTGCAGTTTCCGCTTGACCTGGCTCTCGACAACACCACCAACGGACATCGAACCCGCCTCACAGAGGGCAGACGACCATTTCAAGGCACTTGCCACATCACATTTGCATGTGGTGGTATTGCCGATGAAGCAAACTTGTGCTTACCATTCTCCAATCGACCGCACTACTTATATTCGTAAATGAGTAGGGTTTCGAGACTACCAGTAACTCAGTATAATGAGATGTATTCACCCTATTTCGTGTAAGGTGATG